GCCACCTCTAAATGAGCTGTACATTTTTTAGCCACCCTTATCAGTCTTCTAACATAACAAGATTGGGCTAGAGGAGATTTCAAGGAAACGTTATGAACGCGGAAACACTGAAGAACGGTCTGTTCAGGTTTTACGAACTCAGTGCGAAGTATGAACGTTTGAATGTTTTAGGTTAGGTTCTATTCCGTCGCCATCTTGCTTAAAAGCGAACGCGTAAACACGATGGCGGACTACGGACGCTGTGACCGTTAGTCTCGGAACCTAACGTTCGGAGTAGTTTCACTTAGATGGAGCCGTGATTCGGGACAGTTTGCCGTTCTTTTTTTTCTGGCGAGTATATAAATATATAAATAGAGGTGTATACATGTGTAATCGGATTCGATGATTCCTCCGGTCGCCGTTATAGCCTGTTCGTCGAGCCGGGGATTTTTACACGACGCGATCGCGTGTCCTGTATTTTTATAACAGCCTGCTGGAAAATTATTCTGTCTACCTGCTTGCGGGCAGGGGAGCGGGGGGAGCACGCGTTAAGATAGGTAAGGATTACCTAGAATTGTTGGAACCGCACTTTCATGATGGTCTGTGATAGTACGACGTGTCTTCGGCGGGATCATGGAACGGTCGGAAGATTCGTAACGGGAGAAATCTAGTTGCGGGCGACGGTTAATCCTTCGACTCTTGTCGCCTGAGGTAATATCCATGAATGAACAAAATCGAACAGAACCATGCTCTTTCGTTTGTTCGGTATTCGTTGATGAATTACAATCGATCGTTGGGGTAACATTAATTTCTATGCTATGATCGTCCTAGTCAAATCGTTCCTCCAAATCCGGTGACTGAATTGAGAATTCGATGTAACAGAATCTTTCTCTCGTCAAATCCTCAAACGTCTTCATCATCGAATGACGACGAAGCTTTAAAAAACGGATTCCCCGTCGGAAATTCTCGAAACGATTACCAGCATGAAATTAATTCGCGTAACTTCGCTGGCGAGGGTCGCAGGATCAACGTCGCCGCGCGAGCGTGTAATATAATCGCAAACCGGCGAGTTTAACGTAACCGAGACGTTCGAAGCTTAATGTCAGCGCGGGTTGGAACGATGCAACCGAATGATTGCGCTGTAAAGTCGCATTTGTCGCGTCTCGTCGAGGGATGCACGCGTCCGAAACTGTGCCAAGCAAGTTCCGCGAGACCGAAACGTCTTTTCCAAGGGACGGTGAGAGACGCAAGCCGTGTTTGACGTTCGTGTACCTGATTAATGTCGATTCGCAGGCGAACAAAGTTCACTACAGCAGCGTAGCTGTCCGCTTATTCCCTTCTCCCCCCGCGGCCCCGAGCGCCACACAGTGCGGCGAAACGGTCGTTTCCTGGACAAAACTCAAGAACAGATAAAGTACGAGTGTCACAAACAGATGTTTCAATTAAAAGTTCTAGGGTATAGAGCTAAACATATGGTGGTTATAGTTTCGTTTACATTATGGTGATATTACGAAGTTTTTCCAACGACGGGGGATATTTTGTGTATGGATTCAGACGTCATATAAATGGAGAAGCGGGATTGATTCGTACATTTGTATTTTTCAAGTGAAAATCATTTTGTATAACGGGAACTGCTTAACACATTGGTAACCTTCAATTTTCGTTACGCGAATAGTCGAGTTTTGGTTTTGTCCACAGACGACCGCACTGTGCGCCGACCCGTGGAACTTGTGACAATTGTAGATTGGGAAACGTTGAAACGACATTCGCACAGTCAACGAATCTTGTCCCTCTTATCGTCCGCGTTTCGTTCTTTCCTCCTCCACTTTGCTAGTCATACTTATTGATCTAATTAATTTAAGCGACGAGACCTTTGAAGAACGATGAAACCAGAAGAACAACGCGGCATCGAGTTCGAGAGAACCAGCTCGTTGCCGAGGGATCCGGCGAACACGCGTGAAGAGTAAATTTTCCAACGCACCACGATAATCGGCGATATTTAGGTGCACCGTAACGTGTCCCGCCGCCATATTACCGCGTCGGTTGTAGATATTTTAGTGTAAAATAATTAAGACGAGATCGTTGTTCCGATGGCGAGCCTCCGTTTAACCTTGGAACTTGGTCTCTCGTGTGTAACGAGGTTAACCAGCGACGAGTATACGCGTCGAACCGATTGCACCCGATGTGTATTACATTCAACATTAACACGTCCGCTTCCACGGGAATTCCGAGCGATTTATAGAGTAACATTTATTCCGTCGTAACAAAGGCGTACGGTGTTAGAAGTAATTACCAATGATTTGTATCGCAGTAGTCATTACGCTATCTAGCTACCAATGTTACTAAATATTTTCATTCCAAATTTTCTTATTGTAATTCTTCTCGAGCATCTTGGAAGCTCCGGTTATAGGTGACCACCGTGCCAGTCGACGTGTTAATGTTGATTTATACGATAAATTATGGAATTCAAGTAAAAAAGATCGAAAAAGATTCCTATGTTTGTTCGAGAAGATACGTAATTAGTCGTTGGAAAAATCGGTATTCTTTCGTGTCTCGACGTGACAGGTACACTCGTCGAACAGAGTTCACCGGTTAAACGAGAACTCGGAGCGTTAGGTCGCGTGAAGAGTGTAATTTATTCGAAGACAACTGTACAGTAGAAGGAACGTAAGGACCAAACATTTTCGACACCCCGATCTCTTGCTGGGCGATCTCTCTCGCCGAGTCCTTTGATCCGTAGCTCGTGTAACAATAAGTTTAGAACAGTGTCCCAGTGTGGTCGATTCTGTTCTTTTGTAACAAACCGTGGATAGTCCCGATAGTTTGCCCGTTCCAATTAGCGCGCCGTTCAGCTCGGATCGATGCCCTACGACTTTTATATCGGCTGGTCGCAAAGGTTCGCTTTCGCTAGTTCGGATCTCGAACGACGTTAACGCATTACTTGCCGATTGTGAATTACTCGGTGGTACCAGTGGATTCAGTGAAGCCTGAATTTGTCGGAATTCATCGTGGGTGATCGAAGCTGTTGCGTCGGTTTTCAAAAAAGAAATGGAGTACCATTGTCACTGGTGACACGAACATGACTGTGTTTAACAATTCTCCATTTGCATATTTCTACCATCTCTGACAAAGGGTGTAACAAAATAAGAGGGTGGAAAGCACCGATTTTTCTCGAGAAAGTTTCTTTCGACAGCTCGTCCGTAGAAAACATACACCAACTTTCAGCTCTGTATCTCAACCAGAAGGATAGACAAAAATTGAAAACGTCTGTCATACTAATATGTCCACTACTGTAAAAGTTAAACAATTGTCGCTCGAATGCTTCATTGCAAAATCGACATTTCTCCATTTTCCGGGGGGTTTCATATGTTTCACGCTAAAGACTTGGAGCAGAGAGATCTCAAAAGATTCTCAGAACTTTTTTCCAATTTTTTACGTACTATTAAATACGTAAATAAAAGAAACACTGATAATTCAAATGTACCCTATAACTACCCTTCTGGTTGTGACAGGGGGTTGAAAATTGGTATCCAATGTTTTCTATAGCTATCAAAGGAAACTTTCTCGAGAAAAATCAGTCAAAGAATACTTTTCATCCTTCTATCCTGCTGTACCCTTTAGAGGAACATTGATTGATAGTCAATAACAGAGTCCAACGAAACGCTGATTTCTAGACTACCGGTCGGCAGCCGGTTGAAAGTTAAATTTCGTTTCGTGAAAGTTCATTAACCAGCCAGCGGTGAGTGATGCGTTAATGTCAGAGGGCCGCGCAGAATGGTCCCTTCAACCACACAATGCCAATTAAAACTACTTTTATACATAAGTTCATAGATGGATTGTCCTGTGAGAAGAAAAGGTGAAAATTATTTTTCTCGTACGTCCGCGGTATTTTTCCAATGCGAGCCCTACTTTCTGCGCTCACCTGTGTGGATGCGTGTGCGTGTGGAACCGTTGGAACCTCCCGGTGAACGTTGCGCGCCCCCGGCCACGTTCAGTTCTCGTTTACGCGTTTAATTTATTGATCGAGCGGCACGAGGGATCTTGGATCGAGAGGAAAAATGCGTTTCGACGGTCGGACCGGTCTCTCGTTGCACGCGTGACCCGATGCACCGGGCGCCTGACGTTCTCCGGGCCGTTCCGACGTCAACGATAGAACTGTCTTTATTTTCAAGTGCATTCTCGTGCACGAAATTAGTCTCGAGATACAATAAAGGTACATCCTTGCGGATGAACGGTAATCCTTGATGACCGAGAGGGGGAGAGAGAAAGAGGCTTTTCCCGGAGATGGACGTCAACCACCTGTTCGAGTTTCCCGATCGGTTTGAACAGTCCCTGAAAACTGTTTGCCTAACCCCTTGCCGTATTATTTTCTTAAGCTCTCGTGCGACTTCTGACTATCAACGATTCTATCGAGATATTTTCCATTCCACTGTAAACGGCAGGTTACTTTAAAGATAATCAATTGGCGAAATATTATACTTCGCTAAAGATTAACACGTTGAGTGCCGCACGATTTCATGGAACAAAATATACAAAACGGAAAGAATTTAATGTTAAATCGTTTGATTGAATGATTATTACTGCATATTCATCGAGCTGAATGTCGCCGCATTATTAGTAATATAGAAATGTGTCTAGATCATCGTTTAATCGAACGAACTATAGTAATTCGATGACCCCGTGGCATTCAACATGTTAAATAACGCTTTAGTTCGATCCATGCTGAAGAATATTGATTTTTATTCGATTGATTATTAAATTCGTCTAGAACACTTCGTCGCGAATCACACTGGTCGTTGTATAGCAAGGGGTTAAACGGTAACCCGCCGCTACGAAGTAAATAGAGAATCGCCTGTACCGTGCTGAAATTCGATTATCTTTCCAGAAGGATGGAGAGTAAAATCCGTGGCGCACACCGGAAGCTCCAAGTACAGTAGAACCTGGATTATCCGATTTAATTGGACGACTGATTGGAATTTCTTCAAAGCCTGTCTGCCGAATTCGATCGTACATATCTTGAAGTATAAGTTTAAGAGTCTGAACTATTTAACACTAGAACTACCGAGCGTTTGATAAGATCGATGCGTAACTCCTATCGAAAATTGTAACAGTAGATTTTCTCCCGATCCCTTCAGATATTCATCGTAGCATCGAAATGAAACTATATTTTAAATACAATATCGATTACAAATAACTATTTATTTTCAAAGTCAATTCGAACATTGAATAGTCTCGAGAGATCGATAGTTGCGAAACGAGGAAACTGTGTCACTTCGACCGGTTAGGTAGTTCCAGCGTTAATTCGTGCGTAAACAAGACTTTCAACGATCCAGATCGCAGATGATGGCGGTTAATCGAGGCCCTGCTGTTCAAATTTACCGTGCATATCGAACAGTATTCACCCCCGCAGGAAAACTCGATTCCTCGACTGTTTCGAGCAGCGTGCTCAATAAAGTTTAGAAGAAGCCGACACGATCGTCTAGGGCAGACGGCGAGATCGCACGACGAAGACCAGATGAAATATTTATTTTTGTGAATGGTATTTGTATCGAGCGTTTAGCCAAGCATTTTTAATAACTTTATTGTACCCGTCGAACACGTGAAACAGACGCTGTCTCTGTTTATAATGTTGTGATTTACGCTGGGGTGTAGTTTCTTATTAGTTGCCACGGAAGATCGAAGCGATCCCTTCGGATCTGCACGACAGCCGAAGCGGTTCCCTCGAGTTTGAACGTTCCGCTGCGTTGACGACTGCAAACGATGTACAATCAACTTTCTTTTAAGGACGATGCGATTGCGAACTGTCTTCCATTCGCGGGGAGGGAAACGTGAAACAGGCTGCGCACGTCGAAACGTCCCGCGACGCGTGCATCGACTCCGAAATTCGACAGTTTTGAGTGGCAAACATAAAAGTTCGGGTATAAAACAGTTTATTCACTTTCCTGTTTCTCATACGAAGCAAGAATGTGTCGGGGAGAAATAGTTTACAGACAGCAAGGATAGAAACTTCACGGTTTATAACGAACGAAAAGAAAATCCTGTAAGACTTTTTATTACGGAGTGACGGAAGATCAAGTATTGGCAATCTTTCGACTGCAACATAGTGATTCTTTAATTAGACGAAGCAGTATTTGAGAAACGATGTTTCATTATTGACATTTGAGTGGAGCCTGATTTTTAGAAGATACGATCGATGCAACTATTTTATCGTTAATAATCTATTGGAAGAAGTAGAATGTTAGCTCTGCGATATAATGATTCATGACAGAACAATGATAATTAATTTGAATTCGAGAGGATAGAGTAATATTCATGGTCGCTGAATTCTGTTTGAAATCTTCGCCACGAGTGTGACGCGTTATTGCGAAGCGAGGGGTTCATGATGGAATAACGGAAAATCAGTAGAATCAGCGCGGAGGTAAATTGACGTTGATGAAGATTTCACGACACCTAGGGGTCGACGCGTTCGTCGCGACGTGTTCGAACGTGCGCAGAGTGTTGAAGAACCAAATGGACCGTTGTCCTGGCGCTCGAATCACAGTTGCGGTCTCCGATGCTTTCACCACGTACGAATCTACGTGCGAACAAACGACAACGCTCGTCAAAGTGGAAGGCACCCTATGCGTAAGTTGAGAGATCACTTGATATCCAACGAAACGGCACAGGGGCAGAGGGTGACCTTCTAGTTTCCTGTTCTACAGTTCCGATGAATTATTAGGTTGTCCCGAAAGTCTTTCGCTTTATTCATACACAATGGATCCTCAGCATGTTCTTTCTGGTTTATATCATGTTATTGAATTATATATAGTACATCCCTATTTATTACCTGCCTTCACTTTTCCGGAAGCCTTGTAATACTGTTTCCGAAGCATCTGCTAGACCAAACGTTAAGAACAGCACATGAAACGAACTTATAGGACAACCTAATACTTGTAACCGTATTCAGTAAACGAACGATGCGAAATATCAAGAACTAGGAGATACAACTGGAAAATTTGCTGAGAAAGAAGCGAGAGCTGATCAATCAGACGAATTCCTCGGCTTAGCTATCAAGTGATCTCCTAGCAGTACGCAGATACCTACCTATATATTTTTATGATGAAATCTACGTTCTAATAAGGAAAATACATTCTAATAAAAGCAGAAGAACTAGGCGACACGGTTCCCTATGGAACATCGTTTATCGATGCAACCGTGCTTGCAACAGAGATGGGCGAGCGTAGATGTATGCGCAAACAAAGTGTTTTAATTACGGAACAAACGATGAAAGCCCGGCCATCAGTGTTTCGTTGAACGAACGCGAAGATTTTTATTGTAAAATAAAACGGTAGTTCCTTTTCGATAGGCAGTCTCGTCTTCGAGCGAGCGTTAAACATTTTATTAACTGCTACGTTGCGGACTTGGTGCATTTATAAATAGCGCTTATAAGATTTAATGAGATTGATATTTTGTTCAAGGCCCGAGCGAATTTTCAACGGGTTTCGTATTTCGAAAATTAGTGGGAAATCACCTGTATTTGCATATACTTCCGCTGTCTATTTAATTATTTACGAGCTCGCTGCGTGGAACCACGTTCAACATTTCCGGTGACTTGAGAATGCGTGTACACGGTCATCGCCATTGTTTTGTATACTTAACTCGTCGTTTAATTACCGTTCAATGTGACGCATTGAGATGACAGTGTAACCGCTGCGATCGTAAGTGATTTACGATTTACGAGGTGAACGAGGTATTATAACGATTAGGTGTAAAACGGAATTTCTATCGAAATCCGGCGTACCGAATCCGGTGCGACGCGAGAGACTCGATTGAAGTTTGAATCATTGAAACTTCGGCAAAGTTCAAAGAGGATTTTATTTTTTGCAGAACGGGAAAACTTTGAAGATCCTTGACAGAAGTTCTGTGTCATTCTAGGGTCTGCGATATCGTCTATAAAAATGTATATTTTCACGAACATTTGCAATCTGTGTGAAGCTTTTAAATATTACTCCCAGTCGCTAGCTATTATTCGCGCGGAATTATGCCCGTCTCTGATTTACGATGAATAGTCGAGCGCAGTGAAATGTAACTGATGTACTATCATTAACTCACGTGACGAAAAGTCGAGATACGATTAACGGATAATCGTGTCGCCTCAACGAAAAATGATTTCACCGATGATTTGACGAACTCGATTCTACATACCGACTCGATTCAGATTTATTGCGTGTATTATACGTTCGTTTGCATAGCGTTCAATATTGCTCGTTTGAAATACAATCGAAAGATGTGGGATTAAGCGTACAGTGGACATGCAATCAGTCATATGTTTTTGTATATATCAAAGAAATATAATATATTACTTAGATCGAAGATACAATGATGTGAATCCCTGCCACTGAACAACCCTAAAGAACCAGGCAATTCAAACCCCATTCGCGCGACAAAGTGTGTTTAACACCATTTCTACCGAAGGTGTCTCCCGACACCTGAAATTTTCATTGGAAATTATTTTCCCGGTTTAGTCGTGTCTTTTAATTGAATTTTCGACTGTTCCAAGAACCATTATAACATTAACTCTAGGAAATGGCCAGAATACAATCGAGGAAAAATGGCTAAACTGAGGAAAGAGTTTTAAGTTGAAACTTCATAAGGTGTCCTGTGACACCTTCGGTAGAAATAGTGTTAAGTGATGCCATGGTATTTACTGAATTTCATTGAATTTCATCGTATTGCGTTAATCATTGTTTAACGTCTTTAACCACTCGCGGTGGCAACGAATTCGGAAACTCATTTTTTTATCAATCATTTGTACAAAGTGGTAGATTTCAAAAGAATCTGGAATATATAATCCAATAAGACTATCGACGTGTATAATGTGTCTTTGGTAATTTTGGAAGAAAAACATCACGACGTCGGTGGCATGTCTTTCCAGCGCGAGTGGTTAAATATTACTAATTTAATTAACACGTATGATAGAAACGTGGCGCCATCGGCAGTAAAATGATCAAGCTATTAGTCCATCACACCTGTTTAAGATGGATCTTCAGTTTAAATTCTGCATGTAATAATATCCGCTAGTACCGATTAGAGACAGGATATACTGGACCCTTACCATTATCGTGTCACTAACAACCTTACCTACAAAGTACAAATAAATATAAAAACAAATGATTGAAAAATGTGTTCATCTTTATTTTCTTGTGCCAATATTCAATTTTTCAGATCATGTCCTATCTTTCCTGTCTCTTGTCGATAGTAATTCATAAAGACGCCATTTTTGATCGTAGAGGGCATATCAGAACGTCTGCTTCTTTCATGCAATCGGTATTTCAGACCATTGTCACAGACTTAATTAGTATGTTCACTATTCCGGTGTATAATTAGAATAAACGGCAAATCACTAACCTTTACGCGGAAAAATTTAATATTGAGACAA